GCCCAGGAATAGAATAAAGAAATAAAGAAAGGGACGCACAAGGACAGAACGCCTAGAGTAAAGAAAAACAAAATCTAGTAGGCTATATAAAGATAAGGTAGGACCCAGTGCAGTGACCTCGATTATCGTAGCCGATGGCACCCCTATCCCATTAGAGTTCTGAGAAGAACGAAGAAGAATGATCTTTGAAGAAAGAAAAGAAAGGAGAGCAATCTCAAAGGAAAAAAGAAGGTTGCTTTAGGAGCGCCTCGACTGTAATGCATACTAAAAAAGGAAAATGCAACAACGGATTAAGGAAGAAGAAGTTAAAACCATAAAAAGGAAAATGGCATCAGAGGCTAGCAAGCTATGGTCAGCATCCCAATGAGAGGTCGAGGAGTCCGTCGTAAGGGAAAGAAATATATATAACAAGAAACAATAACGAAGGTGTGTTTCACAAGTTCACGAACTCAGATTTTACTTTAAAATCTCTAAAATGTTGTGATTTTTCCTAATTCAAAAACAAAAGTTATCTTATTTTTAAAGTAGATTTCAAAAATTTATGATTTTGTTAGTTGGAAGCTCTTTGATTAATTATACGGTGGATCACTATGGCATATAGAAAATATGAGTGTCTTGGATTAGGGAATGCATTTACCTCTAAGAAATTTTTCATTTCAATAAATGAAAGTCCAATAAAAGATGTATAGATTTCAAGAGGGTTCAAGCAAGGAGATCCGTTGCCTCCTTTTGATATTTTATTGGTTGCAGAAAGACTTAATTTGATGAGTAAATTATGGTCCCGAGATCTCCCAGTTACAATTTGCAAATAATTCCTTCTTTATCAATGAAATTTATTCAAATAATTTATAATTTTTGAAGTTATAGACGTGTTAAATTCTAGTATGATTAAACTTAAAAAAAAAAGCTTAAATAAAAATAATATTAAAAGTAATTTTTTTAATTAAAATCTTCCTATTATTAAATACTTAAATTTATCCTCAAATTTTAAAATTAATATTTTTCTTTAAAAGATATATTTCTAGATTTTCCCTGGTTACATTTGTTGACCATAACAAAGTAAAAGGAAAAGGGCAGTGCATAGTAAAGGCAACATACTAAAATAAGCGAGTGAAAGTGGGTGACGAAGAAAAGGTTGGTGATGTGTGATGAAATGGTTCATGTGCCATGTTAGAACAGTGTCCCACCACCAGACGCATGATTAGAACTAGACGTTGAAGGAGATAACACGTTGCAGACAACAATTGGGTCCCCTGTTCAATCTTAAAGAAAGAGATTTTGAACAAACTGAGTGAACCCTATGCTATAAAGCAAAAAAAAACCCCTTGATGGGAACAGATTCGCATTTCAGAGAAGATCTATTCTAGATCAGTAGGGTGAATGGGGTCCCTCAAAGATTTTATTTGTTTGGACCCACAAAAGATTTCAAATATTACTTCACGGGGTCCCCATTATGCTCCCAACCATTGCCTTTATTTATTTCTCATCCCCTTTACTAATATGCTTTCTCAACATTAAATATTGATTATGAATAGAAATATTTTATTAGTTTTTTTTTCAGAGTTAATTTTGTGTATCAAAAGTTTATAAACATTTTATAACAAATATATCAAATTTAAAATATAAGAAACACTTATTTAAAAAATAAATAAATACCTTTTAAGTTTAAATGAATATAGGAATTGGTGTAAATATTTTTGCATTTTAATATTACAATTCATCAGATAACTCTCATCAAATTTCCTTACCATTTACACATCTATTAAAGATAGTTGGATTATAGGTTAATAAGTACTGTACTATGGTTAATAAATTCATTTTTTTTAGGTTTTTAATGTCATCAGGTTGCTTTAAATCCTAATGAATCTAAATCAAATTCGTTGAGACCAATTAAGAGAAATAAAAACTTATCACATATTTTTCTTTAGTTACAAGACTCAAATTTGAGTCATTATTTGAGAAAAATTAAGCTTTCTACCACTTATAAAAATATTAATTTTTTTTTAAAGTAAAAATATCAATCAATTTTGTCCTTTTCAAAAATTAAATTGACCTAAAAAAACAAATTAAACAATTCATTTTTTAAGAGATGATGATTTTTATCATTTAGTTAGTAGTGTAAACTGATCACAGATTTTTAAGAGATTAAAATTTTATTTTACTTAAAAAATAATTAAACTGAATACATTTACACGGATATCCAAAATTTTACCTATTTTCTTCAAGGATTGAATTTTAAACGCTATTTAAAATATATTATCATTTAATTATGGATACATACCAAATCATTAATTTTATTTACTATCAAAATAATATGTACTTTTTTTAGTTAATATATTGTTATTTTTTTTTTTCTGTTTTGGTTTCCTTGTACCCTTTCCGGATCTGAAAATTATTCCAATAGTCATTGTTGGGTAATATGATGAGACCTATATGCCTAAACTGAAGAATTAAAGGAAAGGAATAAGGAGCATTTCGTTGCTTTATTTATAAGTCTTCGGAGTTGAAATCACCCATTGACTGCAAAATCAATGGCGTCATTCTCATTAGGCGATGTCAACATTGCGTCCGATTTCAGGTAAGCACAATGGCGCAACCCTTTTTCTGATTTCCCTCTCATCTCTTTCCAACATTTTCTTATTCATGCTTTCCTCATTATGGCTAAGATTAGATTATATCAATTATCATACTAATCAACACATTTTCAATCAAAATTGGTTCAAAGAATTACTAATCCATTTGTCGAATGTTTCAAACACTCATTTTTATGTTTTCATTATATATTGGAAAAAGAAAAACGTTAATATCACTTTTTAAAGTGAATACTTTTATTAAAATATATTTATTATTTTACGATTAAGAAGCATAATTAATGTTATAATTTTAATAAAAAATTATTATTTTTAAATTTTTAAAGTGTGTCTTAAAGATTGAGGTTAACAAAATAATTAAAAGAAAAATAAAACCAACCAAGTTTATGATTTCATTTAATTTACGATTTTGTGCAACTTTCCTTTTCTTAATTAACGTCTATATAAAAAACACTATATGAACAATCTTAAATTTTTTAGATTGTTTACACCATACATTTGGTTACTGTTCCCTCTAATTACTACGTATGACACAAATTTAGAGTTCTCAAAAACGTTTTAGTCCAATAAGATTTTTCCGACACAGTTTTCTTTACAATGGTCAAGCAAACACATAGAAAGAAAATTAATTGGAGTAAGAATTTCTTACAATTTTTCCTTTTCAACATTATGCGCACATCACCAAGACAATTGCTTTATCGGCAAACAAATTCTTTTTTAAGGTTTTAAATCTTTGGAGTTGATTTTTATAACTAAGCACTTGGATCAACTTGTGATTTATAATAAAAGAACATATTTACTTTAAAATTTTATTCAAAATTTTTATTTTGTTCTTTAAAGTCTTGACTTTTGAGTAAAGATTAAAAACTAATTATTAATTATATTGAAAGAATTAAAAATAGCATATATCCATCTTACAAGAAAAAGTATAATATTTCCATTCAAGGGTAGATTACATTTGTGTATCATTTAATTATATTGTGTGATTTTGCCTTCCATCTCTTTTTTGTTTTTTTTTATCTAAGTACCTTTATATTTAAAATTAAGAAAATTTAGTCCCTCTACTAATTGTCTTTTTTGCCTAAATATTTAGACTTTTTATGATAAAAATTATGTTTGGACTAACTTAAAAAACATACAAGTGAGAAATTTAGTGAAAACTTAATAAAATTTAAGATATTTTCTAAGATGTGAGATTAGAGTCTAATGAGAAAACATTTTTTTTTTTGCTAAAATTTAATGTTTTGGTTAGTTACATTTAAATAAAAGATAATTTAATCATTTAAGTTATAAAAAAATTAAAATTTTTAATAGAAAAAATTAAAAATTAACTTTATTAAATTTTTAAAAAATAAATACATAATCTAAAACTACATATAGTTAAACTAAAAAAAAAAAAAAGCTGCAAATGAAGTTTGAACATCAGTAAAAAAGAAGACAATAATTTACTCTAAATATTATACTCAAGTTTCCTCCTATAGTGTCATACTATAGATATTGCTTTTCTAACGGAGTCTGACTTTTCCCTAACATACTAGAAGGCTCTAGCATGTGCACAAACATACATATAATATCAATAATTTCTTCATGTTTACATCATCGTGACAAGAAAGCCATCCTCTTGAATAAAGGAATACATAGCCAAATACAAGCCTAAAGACTGAGGTGAGGTTATCTGTTACTTTGAGTACCATCTTCCCAACCCATGCATGCCTTAAGATTTTAACTCTAAAGATGAATATGCCATAGCAGTGAGTATTTTAAACTGGAAATTTAAAAGTGAAAATAGAAATAATAATGTGAAGACAAGGAATTAATAGAAACGATCCATATTGCATGTGTATGTATGTATATATAATAAAATAATTAATAAGAATGTTGTTATATAATATTTTTTAAAAATTATCAATAATTGATTGAGACTTCTTAATTATTGAACACAACAATAAATTTAGATACAATTGAAGAGAGTACCCATAATAATAATTACAATTGAAGAAATTGAGAAGAAAGAAGGTTGTCTTAATTTTCAAAGTCTTTGATACTTAAGTATAGTCCAAAAAACCTATCCATACCCAAAATCAACCCTTTTTCCCCCATGATGATGACCCAATGGGAATAAAAGATCTTGGTTTCTTTCTTTTTTCCATTGCAATCAAATAAGATCCAATTGAAAGTGGAAAGAGAGAGAGAAAGTTATGAGTGGTGGTTGTAAAAATGAAGTAGAGAATCTAAGGTCAAGATCACAGCATGAAGCACACACAAGCTTGTTCCTGTGCCTCTACAGTTTTTCCTCTCATGCACCCACTTTTGTAGAAAAAGCTACAGACAATTACATGCCACCTCTTATTCTCATTCACAACGTTTTTTTTCTTTCTCACCTCTCTCTCTCTCTCTCTCTCTCTCTCTTCTTCACAAACACACACTCTGTATGTGATGATAAATATAAAGAGTTTTCAAGTAGACAAATTAACAAACAAGACTTGAAAAGATTGGTTATGTGCTACTGAACACTGAGATGGAATTTGTGAATAGCCAAATGCTAAAACAACAGCAGCAACAGCATTTTCATGTGTTGGTGGTAGATGATAATGTCATTGATAGGAAGCTTTTGGAGAGGCTCTTGAGAGATTCTTCATGCAAAGGTAGGTAGCTACCATACCACTGACTAGTTTGTTTGTTTTTGTTGTTTTTTTTTTTTTCCATTGTCCTCTCCTTAGTTATGGTTTTGGTCTTGGAACAATAATCTCTTCTTAATTCTTTCCATTTTCTTATCATGGAAAAAAATTCATTTTGTGATTTTATGGTTATATGTGTTTTTGGTCTTTTTATTAATTAAGCAGCTACCTTCCTTGACTCTGGAGTCAAGGCTCTGAAATATCTTGGCCTGCTTGATGATGATATTCATAATGCTTCGTCAACTTCTCCAGAATCATTGCAACAAAACGTAATTATCTTTCTCCTTCAGTTCTTCTACTTCTCTTTGGTCTTTTAAATGTAATTACTAATTACATTTGAGCTAAAATATATTACTAATTAGTTGCATCTCTAACAATCATTCCTTTTTTTAATTTCTTTTTCTTTCTATAAAATCACAAGAGTATACTACCATAACTCCTCTTTTCTTTTTTTAATATTTTATAAGTAGAATATGTAAACATATATATGTGTGTGAGAGCATATATATATATATATATATAAACATGATATATTATAATCAAAGTTTTAAAATAGGATTTGGCAATTTTATTCTCCTAAATCTTCATTAGGATATATTGAATCAAAGAAGTGATTTCTTGAATAATCAGTAATTTGTAACATAAGCAACATGAAATACCAGTGAACCCACATGATGACTAATTAGGCAAAGTGCATCGTAACATAATCGTAAAGTGACTTTATATTGTATGGGATCTTTCTCTTTCATCGTCACTTGTATTCATTTCTTGTATTCATTTAGGCCATTTATAGTATCCGTATCAAAATGTACATGATTACAATTTGAATTAGAAGAGAAATATTTTCTTAATAATTTGGGGCCAACTTTTTTCTTTACTTTTTATATGATATTATATATAATATTAATTTTTAATTATTCAAATAACATAATTAGAATTAAAGTTTTATTCCATCAAATTTTACAGTATTTTCTAAATTAAAAAATGATAAAAAAAATGTAAATTTAAAAGAGGGAAGTGATAGGAAAATAAATTGTAAAAAATCACGTGAAAGGCATTCGTGAGAATAATACAACTCTATTGCACACATATAATTCGTTCCGCGTGTATTGCCTTGCTGTATACGTATGCAACCCTAGGTTCTTAAAGATGCTTTAGAATATACAAGTCATTTGATCAGATAAGGAAAAAAAGTTGTCAAAAAATCTATAAATCATTAATATTGATACTATTAAATATTATAATTTAAATGAAAATATTATTATTATTATTAATGAGTTTAAGCATTTAATAATAATATTTTATTGTTACAAATAAAATGTTTATTATATTTTTAATATAATAAACATTTTAAATAAAAATTCACTATATTTACATCTTTACATTAAAATAAGGTATTGTTAATTAGTGTCTTTAAAATATTGATTAAAAATTAAAAATACTAATTTTTATTAGAAATTTTGTTGAACGTAATAAATTAAAAATCAAGGAAGTATATTTATCATATTTTTTGACAAAAAAAAAATTACTTTTAGTTTCTTATGAATTTTCCTTTAAAATAAAAGTAATCAAGATTACTTTGATTCAGCAACTCTGATTATAAAAATAATTCAAATAATTTGATCGGTTTTCTCGGGGAAAAAATAAAGGAAGGTTTTTCATTGCATTTGCGTAGGCAATTCTCATTAATGGAGTTTTTGGATTTAGCATAGTTTCCTTTACAAGAAGCAATGTCTCTTTTGCTGACCCATCACGGTCATTTTTCTCCCTACCAAATTCCAATGATATATATAGTTTTTGTAGAACTATGAAATCTTAATAATGCTAATTAACATGTCCTATTGAATCTTTTAAATTGCAGGGAATCAACGTGAATTTGATCATGACAGACTACTGCATGCCAGGAATGAGTGGCTATGATTTACTCAAACGAATCAAGGTCAACACCAAATTCTCATCTCCCTCGTGAATCCACAGTTTATATTTCATAATGCTACTCATTAATTTGCGCAATGCCAAGCATCATGTTTTAATTAAATGGATTTCTCAAGAATAAAAGAATAAAGATATGAACAATAACATTATTACTTTTATGGGTTTTCTTTACTAATCAACGTTTTGACATTTAGTTAAGAAATTATAAAAAATGCATTAATATGGTTTTTAATTAATCTTTTTTAATTTATTAATTAGTGACCTTCACATTCACCTAATTTTACTTTTTAGGGTAAAAACTTAATTTTTAAGAGTAGGCACGCTGCAGTTCTTTTCAGTAACAAGAAAGAGAAAGGAAAAGAAAAAGATTCAGATTTCAGGATCAAAGTTTACCTTTTCTTGTTCTTTTCTTTAATTATTTATTCTTTTTGTTATCCTTTTTTTTTTTTTGTCGATCTTTTGTTGACAATTGTTACAGCAGCAGGGATCTTCTTGGAAAGATGTACCAGTCGTCATTATGTCATCGGAAAATATACCATCTAGAATCAGCATGTAAGTTTTTCTGCATATTATTTTCATTTTCTAATCCCTTGACATTTCAAGGATAATATCTTGGGAAAAAAAACTAAAGTAAAATAAAGAAAAATCTAATCTTTAAATCGTACTTGCGTTACAATTAGGTTATCTTTGCTAAAATAGTTAATAAATTTATTTAAACGTAAAAGTTATCTAAAAGTTAAAAATATATTTAAACTCACATAAAAATAAACTTTAATAATCCAAATTAGTAATTAAAAGTTCAAAACTACTACCTCTAAAATTTAATTTTTAGAGGTAGTATTAAGTGATCTTCGTTTGTCGTATTACATAATTTTTCTTAATGTTTATTCTTGTAAAATATAATTTTATTTTAATTGTAGATTAATTTGATTTAAATTTTAATGTGTTATAATATTAATTATTATAATATTAATTAATCCTAATTTAAATTTTCTTTTTTAATTTTAAATTTTGAAACACCTTATTAATAAAGATAAACAATAATTTTAAATTCCATCCTAATTTATTTTTAAATTTTTTATAAATTCTTAAATATAAAAATATTATTTTTTAATATATTCTTTCATAATATATTTGAATATTTATTTTAATAATGAAAATTGTTATTCTTTTCTAAGTTATAAAATTTAATTTAAAAATAATCATACAATGTATATTTATTTTTATTTAAATATTATTTTAATTTAATAAATACTCATATAATGCGCAAAAAAAAAACCGCTGATTAAATTAGAAATTTTGTTAAAATTAATTTTTTATATTAACTTTTAAATATATAATGATATAAAAAGGTATATCCAGATATATTTTTATCAATACAAACATTTTAGATTAATATAATTTTAGGCTTTTTAGTTAATTTTGAATCCTTACATTTTTTATAGATAAAATATTTTATTAAAATAATATAATAAACAGTGTAAATAGTAATAATAACTTAAATAAATAGTGTAATACTGAATAAGTTTTATATTAAAATAAATAGAATAATCTTAGGAGGAGAGACATAAGATTATTTTACAAAATATTCAAGAAAAGACAATAAGTTCAAATGATACATTAAATAATATTTAAAAAATACTATAAGGTAGTAAAATAAGTTTATTTAACAAACACTTTTATTTTAACCAAGTTCATAAGTTAGTTAAATAAATTATAAACATTTAGAAATAACTAACCAAACACACTGTTAATCAACTTGGCTTTGCATAACAGATATCCAGCATTGTGTGCCCTCTGCCCATCTACAACCTATATTGTAACGTCTTTACTAGCAATTCCTTTAGTTTAGCATTGATTATGTTTCTGAATATAGGTGCTTGGAAGGAGGGGCAGAGGAGTTTCTATTGAAGCCTCTTCAGTTATCAGATTTGAAGAAGCTTCAGCCACACTTTTTGAAACCCTTTGATCATTTTAGTGAACAAGATTCTGCTGACAGATCCATAGCTTCTCACAATCACACTAATAACAATGATAAGAACAATAGTTTTAACAAAACAAAGGCAATGTCTCCGGAGCATGGTTTTAAATTGCAGTTTGCATCTACAATTGTAACTACAATATTACGGTTTTGGAACTCTCTATAATTGCAACACAATTATATTTGTGATTGCATCAAGTTTATTTTTCAGTAATTATACATATTTTCTATAATGACATGTAACTACAAAAAGAAAATTAAAATTGTGCTCTTCGGCCTTCAGATATAAGGAAAGACTTTTACAATACTGCAGTTAGAGGTGGAGTGAAAGTGTAATGTAGAGAGTAGTTTATGCATATAAATATAGGTTATAATTATGATTTTCTCCAACTACAATGCATTCCCAGTGAATAGTAAATAGTTATAGCATTTACCATCACGCAATTCTATGTAGATATCAGATATGTTATTTTGCCTTCTTTTATGAGTGTTTTATGCTAACTGAGTCACTCAGAGACAAGTTTGAAAATTTGAAAGAACACCATATAAGCAAATTAAGCTTGATTGGTTGATCAGCTGAACCAGCTCTAACTCTTGCACTTCTCTCATTAGAACAAATGTAGATTTCAATGAGTTTAAACTTGAAACAGTTTAGCTTATGGAAAACTATTCTTACATAAGCTTTTTTTATTTTCTAGTAATGCGCACAATAATGCACCTAAAAGAATAGAAAATTGAAATTTACTGACAAGATACTACGTACAAATCAAACAACTAGTCCCTTCATATAGTCTCTAATCTTAATCCTAAATGAAATTTCTTTGCACTATGTTTTTCTCATGCAATACTAAAAAATTAGGATTTTTCACCACAGCAATGCAGTTTTAGTAACTATTTATTAACGTAATATTATTTTAAAATTAATTAGCAAAATAAGTTAATTCAATAATGTTTTAATAATGTCTAACAAAATTAATAAGTATAATACAGTACCATATGACATGTGACATATTTCAATATTTATTGCATTATAAAGAGGTGGCACTCACAAATGTTGACAAGGGAGACAGTCATATGCAAAAAGCATAACTAATGGATGTCACACTGAGATGCTTGACACGTGACATGCATGTTTGACCATTTGAACATAATTAAAAGATTAATGTCATGGGACAGACATGCCTGACCACTAATGTTACTCTTTTCTTTTTTTTTTCTCACATTTATTTTTAGCCTGTATTTGAATAAAGTAATTTAAAATTATAACATTACATATATTAGGATAGTAAGAAAAATATATTTTTAAAATATTGTAAAATTTTAATTAAATAATTTTTATATCAAATTAAAAGAATTTCAAAAAACTTGTGTTTAAAGAGAATTTATAAATTTTTTATTATACTTAAATTTTTGTATTTATCATTTATAATTTTTTTATATTTAACTCTCACTTTAAGTATTTTTTGTATTATTAATTTTATATTTTATAAAATTTTAAATTTTTTTATCCAAACACAATCTCAGTCATTTCTTTTTCAAAGCTAACCCCATTAATGTCTCTTTCACTTATAAAAAGGTAATGGACTAGTTATATTTTATCTATTATTTTAATTTATGTTTTTGTTAACTTAATTAGAGATGTGGTTGTCATTATATTTTAATATGAATACTTGTGTTTCTTTTTTATTTTAATTTTTATGCAATAACTGGTTGTTACAAGCATCAAATGAGTAAAAGGAAGAGCAAACATAATATCTATGGGCTAATAATATTATCTTTGCTAAATATAACTATTATTTTTATATTTTGTTAACAAAATGATTTTATTTTAATTTTTTTTATGTCTAACACCTACAAGAACTACTTGTTATGGTTATAAATATCATCCTAATAAGGTTAGTAAACTATTTCCAAATATTCATAATAAATTATTGCATTTTAACGTAAAATGTCTTTCTAAAGTGTTCTACGTATCATAATATAACATATGTCACATTTTGATACATGGTAACTTATATATATATATATATATATATATTGTTGAATTAAGTCATTTTAATAATTAATTTTAAACTAATATTATTTTAATAATTTTTAAAATTACATTATTATGATAAAAATATTTAATAAATAAAACAAGTGTCATACCAAACAAATTTTCCTTTCAACTTTTTTTATATCTTACATTTTACCTTATTTTACACTCCTATATTTCTTTTTCTTTGTTGTTACATCACTCATTACATATATTAATTTCTCTCCTTTCTATCTCTCTCTTTGCACCAAAGATGTATACACCATAGATTTTATCATTTTTATTGATCTATACTCTCATTAGTGATGTGATAACGTGCCTTTGCATATTGTGTTAGTCTAAGTAACTCATATTGTGTTAGTAGATAAGTTAGTTTTAGTTCTTATATTTATTGTTAGTAGCAATTCCTAAAATTGTGGACATGATATCTTGTGCTGCTATTTTTTCAAATATATTTAAATTTAAGCTGATATTGAATAAAGTAGCACATGTATTGTAGTTTCGACTACCTTACACTTTAATATTCTCTTTCTTTTTCTATAATTTTTATTTAACAGTATCTAACAATTTGTATTAATCTTTTGCTCGTCCTATATTTTTTATGAAGAGAATTATGACCTATTGGTAGTGAATTATGACCTATTGGTAGTGAGAATAGAGTCCTACCTAAAGGTTTTAGATTTATGGAATGTTGTTAAAGAGGATGACATGGTGCCTCTAGTGCTGGAAAATTCCACAAAAAAATCATAAGGAGAACAAAACTAAAAAATTGAAGAAAAAACATGTTTATTGATATGGAACTATTTGAAGGGAAAATGTGTAAGGGATAAGAGGATCTGAAGTATGCAAGTGTTAAACTTGACGAAAGAATTTGAGTTATAAACAATAAAGGAGTCTAAGACAATTAATGAATACTTAGATTACTTGACATAGCTAAATAAGTAAGATTACCATGGATTGACCTCTCAATTCTAGAATTATAGATAAAACTATTGTAATAATGCTTGGAAAAATATGATACTTCTATAATCACTGTAGAGAATACAAAGGATCTTAGTAAAATCACTTTGGTGGAAGTCCTACATGCCTTGAAAGTTCAAGAGGAAAGAAGGCAAATGAAGCAAGATCAAACGGTTAAAGTTGCTCCTCCATCCAAGCACCAAGAAGTTAGAACAAGCAAAAGGAAAAACTACAAAAATTAGCCCAAGTAATAGCACAAATACAAAGTAATCAAAATAAAGGCAAAGGTAAAAGGAAAAATTATCCACCTTATCAACATTGTGGCAAAATAGATCACCCACCATTCAAATGTTAGAAAAGGCCAAACATAAAATGCAGTAAGTGCGGTCAAGTGGGTTATGAAGTTGTAATTTGCAAAGCTACAACTTAGCTGCAACTTAGGCAAAAAAAAAGCACAATAAGAGAAAGAAGACTTGTTCCTTGTTGCAACTTATTTTTTCCAATTTTGTCAATAGTGGATAGTGGAAAATTGTAAAATACCAAAAAATCGCAATGTCATATATAGATAGCATTGCAGGAAAATAGCAGAAGTCATATAGTGCTTGAAATATAAAAAAATTAAGCAGAAATGCAATATATGAATAAATAAGCTATGTAAAAATTAAAAGATGGTATATAAAAAAATGATACAGGATTAATTCAAGTCAAAAGTTCAATTATTTAAACTTTAAAACAAAGTACTAAAAATATTAAATATAACAAACAAAAAATTCAAATAAAATATTATATAAAGAGAAAACAAATTCATTCATTCAGTCATTTTCATCCCTTTTAATTGTAAGATAATGACACATATCCTTCAACTTCTTTTTCTATATCTTCTAAATCAATATCTTGATTGTCTTCTAATTCTTTTCTAATTCTTCTAAGATAGCAATATCTTTTAAGTTCTATTTTTGGATGAAGATGCACTTGCCAAACCTTTCTTTGTCTTAGATGCAACACCAACAACATTAAGAAATTCCTTTATATTCTAAAATCTTTACCTAGAATATGTTACAAGCTCTCCAACTCTTAAAGCTCTATAAACATCTTCCCAAATAAGGGCATTATCATTGTCATCCTCAATGACCCTCTTATTCAACATCATCTTCATCACCATCCATCTTCTTAACTAACCATTCATTGAATGAGATTTGGTTATTCTCAACTCTAAAATTGTATCTTCTAAGCAATGCTTTATTTGACATACACTAAATTGTGTAGTATTTTATGCTCAAAAATATTCCTTTCTCTTATAATGAATATGCAATAATAAGTTAAATAAAAATTAACAAAATTCTCTAAGTGACTAAGTGTAGAAACTATCATCTACTAAGAAAATTTTTAATTAGTAAATTACTTGCTCAAATACACTCTAGTTGTATTTACATCTTGACGCACTACATATCAAACGCAAGATTTTTATAACCAATTGCTATAAATTTGGAGTTGATAGTCCATACATTCGCTACTATTGTGCTAAAAATTTAAATAAATATTTTACAATAATATACGTACAAAGGTTACAATTTAAAAGAAATGAGAAATCTTCATAAAGTTTCTCACCAAGTGCAATTTTGTTCCTTTGTGAAATTGTAAATTTATTTCCAAACATACCACCATCAGTTTTATCAACTAGTAGCTCTTTAAGAATATTTTATTTCACTTCCAAAGTAGGCCCTCAAATTTAATTGAGAGATTATTATAGAATAATTATGGATTTAGGAAGTAACCAGCAGCATGTAATGGGCAATGAAGTTGGTAACTCTACCTCTTATTAATAATATCAAAAACATTTTTATATTTGCTTTTATTATGCTCAAAAGATCTCGTAATAGTTTCATTACCCATTTCCATTGCCTCATAAATATAACCCATAACTGGTTTTTTCTGACTATTAACAAGGCGAAACACACACACAAGAAGAGCCATGACCTTAAGTGTGTACACTATATTATTCCAAAAAGTAAGCATGAGTACAATTTTTGTTGCTTCCCTTCCTTTCGCCTCCTTGGACAATTTGTTATTTGTTCAATCATTTGATACAAACATTTTTCTAAGATTTGTTTTCTCCATATGAATCCTTTTTAATCCGAGGAAGGATGTAGCAAATATAGTAATTGTATGTCTCACCAGTTCTCTTTTATTGG